ACCGGCGCTAACCCGGGTTTTAAAAATGTAACAGGGTGTCAAGTTGCTACCTGCCAAATGCAGAGTGGATGCCCCACAGGGCTTTCCCACCAAATAGCACCTACCTGTGGTGATGCGTCTTGACATGCTGGAAAGACGGTCACTTAATAACCTAAATGGTGTGGATTCGATTCCCTCCTGGCACAAATGCTTCACTGCAGTGTCGAGCTTCGCGGCCATGCTATTATCCAGGCTTCACTTTTGGGCTTTATGAAATGCTGAACACCTAGCCTAAGAATATTTCACAATAAAAAGTTTTAGTGCTCGACTTGACTGATGGTCTAAGGCTTCGGGGACCCCAAGACCTTCAGGTATCCCCAAGGGTCTGCAGACCTCATTTTAGAACACTACCATGTAAGCCAATACTGGCAACTCCCGCGGAGCACGGGCGAAACGTTATTGCGGCACCCCTGGCGAGCTCAGTTTCCACTAGCAGACGAATTCTCTACAACACATTGCTTTTGCCTATCTCCGAACGAGGTGACCAATTTTTAAAAAATTGTCACGGGTATTTGCTGCTCTGAACGTTAAAAAATAGGTGCCACCTCACGAGTCAAGGATATTTTCTTTGCGTGGGAAAGATGTTACAGCTTTCAAGGTGCAATTTTGGGGGCACTCCTGAAGAAAACACTGCCACAACTTGTCAGACAAAACACGAATGTACCTCTGCACTGTTTTTTTGAAAAAGGGTAATGTACAAAAATTTCAGAACATAACTACGTTTTAATTTTACTGTTGTTATCAATCATGTCGTTTTGTTGCAATTCCCATTTCTTATGAATGTCTTGTTTATATACTAGGTTGTATACTTTCTGGTTCTAACCGAAAAAGACCGATAAGCATCCGCCGGTGTCGAAAAGAAAAAAATCGGTTAAAACCGGAAAACACCGGTTTGTGAATATATTTTCGTACAAGCGGCAGTTTTTTTTGTTTGTTTTTTTTCACAGTAAAAGTCCTGAGTAAATATTCCTCAAACTTGTTCATATTTTTTCTTTTCGGTTGTCGTTTAGGTTTTCTAAGGTCTCTTAGTAATTGAGATGAGTTATTCTGTCGGTGCTCATTACTTTGACCATCAATTTATGTCCCCAAGTTTGTCCTCATTGTGCCCTTTTGTAGATATATCCCCGTTGACGGTTGCCCTCCTCCTCTATGGACCCTAGTTGGGGGGTTTGAAGCGTCTTTCATATTGTGTGGCTCGAAGCGTGTCCGGAAGCTGCATTCGCCGGACTTGCCAGTACTGTCCCAAGGCTCTTTGGACATTTTGCGACTTCTCGCGTCTGCAAATGTTGAACGCGCACTCTTGAAATTGCACGCAGTCAACAGGAAGGAGCAGGCGGGAAGGACAGGTGTAAGCCTTAGAATGTATGCATGCATATATTAGAGTAATGAAGTGTGAAGAATATTGAGTATCAGATGTAAATGAAAACTCAAAACTGTTTCTTGTCTTGACTGCTTGTTTCTATTCGTGATTTCCTCCGTCGATAAAAGTCGTTTCAAGCGTCTGCACGAGACAATTCACTGAAATGCACCGGTATTTTGGAAATAAATAAACACCGAAAAACATACGCCGATTTTTTACATAAATAAACGCCGGAAGGCATACAGCCTACTTACGACCGTTTTGTCGAATGGGCGAGCTGGCTAATCCCGTTAAGATCGTCTCCGGATGAAGGGGCAATTTCGAACCATGTACGTTACTGCAATGTCAGTATGCTCCGAAAGAAGACGATTATGCACATGCAAAATTTGAAGCAATTACTGAAATTAATAAAAGCAGAATTGCAGAAAAAGCAGATTTTTTCGCGCTTACAAAAGAGACTAGCATCGTAGCGCAAATAAAGTTGATTTCGGTCACGTTATATACGGTCCACAAATTCCGATTGTTAGCACCGGGACGACTAATGTCTTCTACGCCTTTTACAATAAAAGCTGGCCACCCGTTTGGCTCTTTGAAACTCATTCATTTTTCAAAATCCCCTTTTTTGTTTGAGGAGACGCTACGCTGGCGCGTTCTCTCTTCCTCCTGCTTTTATGTTGTTTTTTTCCGCTCACTTGACATTGGACGTATTGCATATTTTGCTTTGCCTTGTTTGCCTAGTTTTTACTCTTTCCTTCGCTTCAGCACTCGCTACCACCGGTTTGTCTGCTACGCTATGCTCAGACTGAGGGCCATCTGCAACTTTGTTGCCGTTTTTGTTTTCTATACCGTCGTCTGCGATAACCTCCTATTTTCGGCTTCGATTGAGCTTCTAATCCGAAATATTCATGATTTTTTATATTTATTAAATATATCAATAAGTGTAAACTCGTTATACTTTTCTATTAGGATTTTATTTGTGTACGCGGGGATACCTGCTATGGGTCATTGTTTATCAATCGGCCGCCTCTGGGCATACACCAGTGCAAACTTGGAGATGGCAGGCATGCAATGGGCTGCCTATCACTACAAAAACAAGTTGCTGCGATGTGGTGGAAAATCCTTCAGTTTTCCGAAGACCGAACAAACGTGAGTAATTTTAAGTTGCTGCATCATTCAAATTAAACTGGAAGAGCTATCCAAGTCTGGCTTCAAAATCGCCACTGACGCCTCAACAGACAATTATGACAATTCCGCGGAGAACTTCACAGACGACAGACCAGACGCACAACTGGACACCCTGTTCTATGTAGCCGGGTGGGCAGCCAGTCAGATCTGTCATCATGCTTGCCAAGTCCAACTGCAATCGAAAACATGGTACACCTCGAAAGACATTTCGTTGAAGAACGAGAAATATCTGCATGCGAAAATGATGCCACCTTTCCACTTAGCTCGTTAACTAGCCGGTAACATCTATTGTGCCTTCAACACACCAGACAAGAGTTAATCCGAAGGCGGACTTGAGGCCGCTGATCAACGAAACAAAGACGCAGTGTGCAAAGCTTGCCTGGACACATACGTCAACAAGGTACACTTGAATGTACTTTTGAACTGATTCGCCAAGCGAGCAAACGAAAAACCTGCCAAAGTCACTGGGAAAAGAAATACAAAAGCAAAAAAGGTCACGCACTGCTTGCACATACCAGATTGCAGCGTGCGACTCTTATTTTACGGGCAGTGTGAGCTGGACTACGTTATTCCTTTCTCTTTGTTTTTAGTTCCTAGCAACACCACGAAAGCAAATAAACTAACGTGTAACAAGCAGCTGAAAAAAAAAAAAAAAGTGAAGCTTTCTGTTTTTGATCAGTTTCGTTGTGTTGCTTCTTTGTTGTGGACTCAACACCGACAGCGACCACCACCTGCGCAACGATCGTCGTGGTTGAAGGAGTTTCTTTGCTGGGTGATTTGCATCTTTTTATCATCTGCTAACTTTTATTTTATTTGCGGCTGTGCCCCCTTTTCTTTTTATTTTCGTCTGGGATGGAGACCCCATTTTTCCTGCAAAGTTCGGAAAGTGTTTGCACCGTCATTTTTATCATTACTTTTTTTTTGTTTTTGTGCTGCAATGGCAGATGCACTTGCTCTAGTAATATTAACATGTTGTTAGCACATGTTTTAATGATCACATATTCAAGAAGAAACTGTGACAACTCAGTTTGTAATGGATGAACAGTAACCTCTTGAGACGTAGTTAGAGTAGCTAAACGGCTTTTCTCTGCTTCTCAGACGAGTTTCAAACGAGTGTGATCCCCTGAGAGGCGTTCGAGACCACTAAATAAACTGCTCTATCTTTGTTTATACGCGCATTGTTTGTCATTGCAGTTGCAATCAGTGGATTCCGCTTTGCAAGCAGACCGACCATAATGAATTGTTTCAGCTGCTGGGGTGACGAAACGGGTCTCGCAAAGCTCGAGGACGTCGCAGAGCCTATACTTTTCGATAGGGCCGTCTGCTTGTTAACTCCGAGTCCATTAGAGACGCCACTGTCACATTCGCTGCTGCTCCCATTGGTTTTCGGAGTAGTTTCCAGTATTGGTGAAGCTATATAGTATTTGGCTTTAGTTTGCCAATAATACGAATGTACACAGAGTGGGTCAAGATATAGAAGACATCACTAAAACACGAGTCCCACTAACAGTACTGACTTTTTCGTGGCCAGCACCGTTTTGAATACTGCAGCACCTCTTAAAGTGAGTTGGATTCTGCGGCCACACTGGGTTGAGGCAAAAGCTGAACTTTTTATCTGCCATTGACGTGCAAAAGTGATGGTGTCCGATGGAATAGTTTCATGACCGCCATCTGGGTTTTTCTCCCGTTTGTCCAAACCCAGCAAGGAGAAATGCATGAAGCAACCAAACTCTTCAGTAAAACAGTCTATACCACAGATATTTAAAGTATACTAAGAATATACTTTGTCTGGTTCTTGTTTTACAAGTATAAAACGAGAGTATTTTCATAATATCACTTTTTGGCAAGGGACCTAAATAAAAAGGTCCATGCTACAGCACTTGACAAAATTAAAAACTCGCCTGCTTTTCACACTTTCCTTGTGCATCTCAAGTGGAGTGCCGGACTATCTTCAGACATTTTGTCCATAACAGGTGTTTGATGCTCTTCAGAACATGCAAGATGTGGATTAGTAAGGCAAGTGACAGCAACATTTAACACGGACACTGCAATGCTTGCCAAACCCAGAACCGAATATCCATCAATGCGTTTAGACCACCCTAATTGGATAAACGGTGTAACAAATATCAAATGTGCCGAATGCTTGCGGCAAACGAATTATGCAATATGCAGTCCATAAAACTGAAGCAGAACACTTCATGGCTCCTTTAGAAGGAGACAGAATGATAAAACATCATCTTAGAGACTTCAAACATGCAGCTGAGTGGCCACTAGCAAGACAAGGCACATTCCTTGCCAGTTAACTGCAATGGAAGGTCTTTGGAGGTAGCACCACACGCCCGCCGCAGCATGTCGTACTTGCAGACCCTAGAAGGACCTTCCCAGCTTCTCCATTCAAATGCAAACAAGAACGATGTCCTCTGTCAACATGTTTAATGTGCACCAATCAACACGTTTTAAGCGAAGGTTACATTTCGGACGCATTACGGAGACAATCGGACCGGGCACAGCTTTCCTCGAGGATGCCTTTGAAATTTTGTAGATCACAAATCTCTTGCCAAGGCGGCAAGAAAGGGGACATGCACCGCGCGCCTGGGACGCAAAGCAGTCTCTTCACAGAGAGAGTGCAGACCCCAGCCGGGAAAGAAAGCAACCACTACAAGAGCAAACTCGAGAGTGCACCCCACAGTCGCAACCCTTCTAAGCTTGCAATCCCAAAACAGCTCCTGTCTTCCACGCTAGGAGAGAATTTAACCGCAAAGAACCCAGCCCACTATTCAGCGCAGACGGGAACACCGAGACAATGATGATTGGTTGGCCAGAGGGTGGCCTTGGAGGGTACTCGGGGGACGAAAAGCTAAGCAGGCCCGGATGTGCCACGCGGGCAAGCTCTCTTCTGTACAAGCGGTGCCGGGGGCCGTCGTGTCACCCCACCCTAGCGGTGAACTGGGCCCGCCAGACCGACTGGAGCCGCGCCTGGCTGACCCGCCATGCCGCCGGACGCTGCTGCCGAAGCCGCCGCCTTCTGCTTCAGCATGGTCCAGTCGAAGATGTAGTCGTACTGGTGGTTGAGCGTGCGAAAGAGGATGCGGAAAATCTGCCGCAGGTACTTGTAGTCGGGGGCCTCCTCGAAACGGAGGCCACGGCAGTAGTTGAGGTACATGGTGAACTCGGCCGGAAAGCCCTTGCAGAGCACCTCGACGGGCGTCGACATCTTTTTCTCGCTGATCTTCTCATACTTCTGTTTCTTGGTGGCCGCCTTCAGGCCCTGCCAGGGGAGGCTGCCGCGGTTGAAGTACATGAGGACATAGCCCATCGACTCCATGTCGTCCCGGCGGCTCTGCTCGATGCCCAGGTGGGCATTGATCGACGCATAGCGCGCCGTGCCCGTCAGGTTCTTGTCCTCCCGGTAAGGGATGTGCTGCTTGTTGCGGTTGTCCCGGTACTTTTTGGCCAAGCCGAAGTCGATCAGGAACAGCTGCGTCGGGGGATCGCACGTCAGTGCCCACCATGCTCGGGCCCTGCCCTCGGACCTTTTACCAAGTGATTGTAACACGAACAAGCATGCTGGCTTTCTAGGTATGTGCACCAAACGTGCTTTCCCCGTGGGAAAGATGCAAAGTAAATGACTTAAGATAAAGCAACGACACATCCATGTGCAAAGTGTCATTCATTTTACATTTCTGCTTGAAACATATTGCTGCAGACACCAGCACCTGCGAAGCTCAAAACTACTAACCCAGCAGGCTCCTCGGTGTCCCAATCATTTGAAAAAAGTATGGAGACCACAGTCCGCAAACCAACTAAAGCATGTCTTTAAAACTGAAAACCACATCCAAAAATATTCCATTAGAATGTATGTTTGGAATTTGACCCTCCAATCGAAAAGGGGTAATAGCAGCCTTGGGCAGTACCCAGTTACTTTTTTCGGTAACTTTTAGCTGTAACGCATTATTCTTTAATACCGGTAACTTGTTACTGTAACACTTACTTTTTTTTTTATTGGATAACTAATTGTTTAGGCCGTTACAGTTACTTTTTTTTTTACCATATTAATTAGATCCTACTGCCACGGACATAGTGAAATTGCCATCTTGAAGTATTTTCCTCGAAACTCCTCGCTGACAAAAAAAAAAACAGAACAAAGCGTAGCCATGCATTAAACAAAAAATCGCTTGGTTTAGCCCATGACCGAGACGGACGGACGAGTCAGCACGAAACTGGAAGATAAAGGAAGCGGCCCCCGTGGTGGTAGCGGCGGCAAACGGTCGGTTTCACTGACTTTGGCACACTCTTCTCTTGTGGGGACCACCTGCGGGTGTCGGTGGTCATGCAATATGTCTCCGACTATTCCGTCTGGGCAGTGTCTGCACCCCCCCTCCCTTGCCCCCTTGTCGGATATGTCTGTGCTGTTGTTTTTACACCCAGCCGATCGCCGTTTCCTCTTCCCTATTAGTTTTCATCAAAGCTGTTCCCATATTGTGCAGAAAGCCGGTGCTTGTGTAACTTATTTCTTCTCTTCAAAGCCGCTCGAGTAAACATGAAGGCAGGTTCAAATGTAATTGCCTTTTTCGATGATAGCCTCAAGAAACACCCCAATGGAAGGACACTGTTGTGGAACCTATGCAGTACTCCAGCTGAAGCGATTTCCCAAAAAAAAAACATCTCTTAAGTGAGAGGAACAGCTGTTTTTTATGTATGTATGCGGACTGGTCTTCCACAGTTGGCGTTTCGGACACAGATGCCGTGGAGGTCGTTGTACACTTGTAGAGCACCAGAAGGCCTCGCTTTGTCTCCTTTCCCCCTATATTTTATCGAAGCTGTTTGACCTGCTCTGTTTAGGCCTGCTTCCGAGTATATCCCATAAGGTAATTATGTGACCATCTGCGTCCTCGTTAGTTTCGGAGTGAAAAATAAACGAAAATTATCAATGACGCGGGCCGTCGACAATTTTGAAAGATAGCCGATTCTACGTTATAACAAATATTGCAAATAAATTTACCTTCTCACTATAGTGTAACAAATAAATAATCTATTTTTGGCTTGCGATTTTTTGCATCCAATTTTTGTACTGTAACGAGAAATTAACCGAGTTATTAGTTTTGCAGTAATTAACTGTAACATTACTTTTTGAAGCCAGAAATTCTAACCCTTACTTTTTACTGATAATGTGCCCATGACTGGGTAATAGACAACTTGAAATAATATTTGAACAATAATTAACAAATCTTACAATGATGTATGAATTGCAAACGACTTAAAGGGGCAGTGCGACAACCCCAACGCCGCAAGAAACTGTAAAAAAAAAAAATGTTGACTTGCCCCGGAATACCGCACTTCCACTGTGTAAACAAAAGCAAAAACTTTACAATTTCAATTTCCCAGACTTCCAGCTGCGTGTGGCAGCCATGGGAACCATGGCAGAAAGTCATCACGAGTGCAGTGTAGTGAATTAGCAAGTTGTGTAATTATCAGATTAATTTAAAGGGATACTACAACGAAATTTCAGCGCTTATTTCTTGGTCCATTTCTGTTAAAGGGAGCATTACCACATCAGACACACCAATCTCTTATTGAAAAAAAAAAACAACAAAACATGAAAAGGAATTTTAGAACGAATTATACGATTAGCAAAGAGCACCTGGTGGATGTCGCTAACGCCTCGTTTGTAATGCCTGTCTAGGAACATTGACATGTAGTGAAGATAACTGTCTCGCCTCCGGCCATGATGAGAGAAAAGCTGAAGGAGGAACTCCCCTCTCTTTGAGACTCTTTTGTGTGTTCCAGAGGTTGCTATTGTCCCTCCACAAGATTATAGAAGATTAGCCCGTTACTCAAAATTCGTACAAAGGCAGCTTTGGGGTTACTTGCGGTGGCCCGATCGCTGGTGTGCTTCGCCTGCTTTCAGCGGATGCTATGAGCCATCCGGTCCTATCCAAGGCCGTGTGAATGTCACGTGACCTTGGAGAGGGGGAAGAGCGACGCGCATAAAAGCATATCATGGGCTACGCCCACAGAGCGGGATTGGCTGGGATAGCTCGCAGCGTCCGGACGCAAGGTCTCGAGACAAACTACGTCACGATTGCGGCAGATGCGACGTGCTCTCCGCTGGCCGCCTTCCAAGCGTTTGCCAAAGTGGGCAATTTATAACGAAAAATACAGCCATCAGGCTCAAAATACAAACGTGCGACTGTCATTTACGGGTATTGTGGATCATGTTCAGCCTATTTCTGAACATGACGGGTATATTTCAAATTTTGTTGAAGTATCCCTTTAAAGCTTTTTTCTAAACCTAACCTAATATATCAAAAGCCCTTTAACCTTCCTTGTCAAGTATCATTGGGAGGAGCGTTTGCAGCGCCCTCTACCCAAAGTCAAGAAAACCACCCCCTCTCCACTGCTACCATGAAGAACGGGAAAGATGGACATTAAAACTTGGTTTTTGTGCTCGTCTGAGATTGGATACCGGCCGAGACCATCAGTGATGACGACCGGTAGCAGTGGAAAACGAAGGTAAACAAAGAGTTTGTTGGCGTGCTCGGGAACCAAACCGGAAGCTCTCCATTCCTCGTGGTCATGTCACTGCGCGCGTGACTCGGAAAATTATGCGAGACTTGAGGGGTGCCATAAGCCTCAATTTGTTTTTTGTTTTTTTAATTAAAAACTAGCGCACGCAAGCAAAAATGGTTTTCTGTTCAGTCTACAAAATCTAATGTATGCAAATTTTGCAAAATACTTCAAAAATATGATCGTGCCAAAAAGATAGCTCCAAAAAGATAGCTCCAAAATGCACAAAATGCTGATCCTGCAAAAATAGTCGTTTACGGAATTAGATTTGTCGAGCGCACTTCCCACCACACAATGAGTGTATGGCAGCAAAGTGACAGTCGCAGTGGGAGACGCGGTAGGTCGAGGAAAGGGGGTTTTTAGTGAACTCAAGACTACAATTACACTTTTGAAATGTATGCACATTTCAAAAGTGTAATTTTAGTTGTTCACCATGTTAATAAAATTCTACTTGGCTCTAAAAAGTAAATGCTGAATTGTGGCTATTACTAAAGCGTATGGAGCCTCCATTGCCCCGATGTGCCACTAACAAACTATTTTTCATTTCAAAAGGCCACATACTGATGATAAAACAGCATACTGATACTGTAATTATTTTATTCTAGATTTGTGTCAAATGTTAGTTTAGCTTGCTGTAATTTCAACTAGCTTTCAGTATGAACATGTGGGATGACAGATGTTAAATTGAAACGCAACATTCTTTGTTAGGAATAGCCCTCATGGTTTTGTTTGCATCTTATTTTAGAAAATATTCTTATTGTACCAATTTGCAACAGACTTAGCGAGCTCTTTGATGGTTTCACTGACTTTTCCAGATGCTTTAGAATTCTGACAACTTCTGGTTGGTAGACATTTCCAAAAAGCATAGTTGTACTTCGAGACGATGAGGGTGGTGATGATGGTGTTGTGGCCGTTCCCTTTGCATCAGACAGTTTTGAATCGAATTTGTACCTAGCCAAGGAGTGATGAAACGAAAAAAAGAAAAAAGAAATACTCTCCACTTATACACTGCCATCTGGTGTGTAAATAAAACAACATACAAGAATATTCCAATCTCCGGAAGAGAGAATGACGCCATTGCTCGCACATACCATACAGATTACGGAAAAAAGTCCTGACCCACTGTTTCCTGCCAAAAAGAAAATTCCAATTGCATGCATAACCTCCCAATAAATGTGGAAACAGTCCTTGTATCACGCAAACACATCAATGGTTGACACTCTGTTCATAAAAAAAAAAAAAAAAAAGGAAAGTTATGTACACTCCTGGAGATGAAGGGCGGAATCTACCATACTAATGTTGAAGAAAAGGTGATCCTTTAATGAATGAGCCTCAAGATTTTATACTTTGCACAGAGCACACCACTTGGCTCTCTACATGCCGCACAAGAAAGCAGATACCACAGCCCTCTTCGTGAAAGCCTATTCCGAGGGAAAAGGGTGCAGATCTGTGCATACCCGTCAACAGATGCGAGGAATGGCAGAAACACAATGTTCGTCCTTTGAAAGGTTTCTTTTTTTATGCCTACTGTAATATTCCGAGAGATAGCCAACCTAAAATTGAAAGCCAATAGGGTGAAAATGAGAGGCTTTCAGTGTGCCATTAAAAGAAAAGTAAAAAAAAATGCTAGTTTTAGATTTAGTGACCTGCCAAACTAGTGATCGCAGGGAAGGGGGATGAACCAAAGACTACTGTCCTTCCCTGCCAGCACTGTTCACCTGTCTCCCACCGTGGTTAAGAGCACCGTTTTTGCCAAGATCACCATTGGCCAGGGCCCAACTATTACTAGAAGTGGGCTATCTTTGGCGTTTCTCAAAAGAATGTCAAGTCGTGCCCAAACTAGAGGTGGGTTATCTTTCCGAGGTAGAGAATCTCTAGGGACATTACACTAATACCATTGCCCCAGCTGTCAACGTTGCGTAGCAGTATGCTAGCAGTGGCCCTCACCTTGTTGCAGTGGCCTCCGATCCCCATGAGGAAATTGTCGGGCTTGATGTCTCTGTGAATGAAGTTCTTGTTGTGCACATACTCTATGTGCCCAATCATCTGAAAGACCACAGGCAAAGAATTAGTAATCACACCAGGCACAATAGCTGGAACTTGTGCCCCGTCTCATAATAAAAAAAACAAAAAAACAATTAGCATTGAAAAAAAAAAAAAAATAAGAACTGATGTTTATAAACAATCCACTGAAAATAAAAAGCTGCCAACGGCATTTCCTTTATAGTCCCCGATTTGCCTGAAAATTTGCTACACACCAGCAAACATTGCTGAAATAGTAACCCAAATATTGGGTGAAAACTTTTTTTTTTGCAAAGTCATTGAATTTACCATTTTGGTCCAGACCATGGCCCAGCAAAATGACAGTCTCTACTGACAACAATGAAAGTGACTTCAGTGGAAGGCAGGGGTTCACCCCTTGGATTGTAGACTTTGCTCCCAACTGATTAGAGGCAGTGTCATGGTGTCAAGTGAACGCTTTGAAGCTCACTCCAGAACCCACGCAGCAGCACCAGAAAAATGCTCGGCATAGTCTATTTTTAGACTACCCGCTGGACCTGTAAGCCTGCCTCCCCCCACGTTACGGCACTGAACCTTCTCCAGGGATTATTTTAGTCATTCTTGTCCAGCTCGCATGCACCTTTGCATTTAATGGCATTAAAAGGACAGCTGATTCCGGAGAAATACTTAGTTAAGGCAGCTCAAAAAATTGCCGAAGTATCCCGTAAGCTTTCACTGTTGCAGACATGTTCTGAGAAGGTTACCTTTAAGCTTTATTTTTAAGTTACTGTGTAGAATTTAGCATATAAAAGTTGTAGCTTTGTGACAAGTGAACGAGTGTTTGTGGTGTTGTAATAACAGCTGCATTATTTCTTACACACAAGTAGAAAGGGTCACAGAAATGACATCAGTGGCAAGCAAGGCCCTGCAGAAATCAAATTATTCTTGCTTCCTTGTTTCTCTTTGTAGTTCCTCCATCTTCAATTTTATTTAATTGATGAGGACAGCAGAATACACATTAATATTTGAATTATAGATAGCCCAAAATACCTAGACATCTTTCGAAAAAGGAAGGAGAATGTTCCTGCACGAAAAATTGATCAGCAATAGCACAGTGATCCTTCCAACATATCTTGCATCAACTTAATATGCAACCTGACCTGAGCAAGTGGCAAAGAAGCATTTCATTCTTCTGTCAAATGAAACCATAACATTCAATAAAGCTTTTACTTTAGTACATGAGTTAACTCCAATTGAGCTAATGACAGTTGACTTCAAGGGCAACTCCGCTTAAATTTTGTTCTTGAAAAAACAAGGCAGTCCTCTTCAGTATCACCTAAGACCACACATCAAATATTAATGCCTAGTTCTATCTAAATGTTTTTTAAAAGGTCTGGCAAACTTAGGAATGAGCCAAGTTGCCAAAATCGGCCAACTCTAGCGGGTGAATGGTGGCACAACCAACAGCGCTTGTTCAAGTTTGTGGTGTAGGCGTAGCAAACACTGAGCTAGATGTCACCATTATTGCCCCTTTTTGCTTGTTTTTACTTCTCCGGGCAAGCGCACGGATGACATCAGCAACGCTTCCTTTCGGCACTCAGCAGTGTCCACATGACTGAAGTAACACGTCTGCACAACACACTTCTTGGGAGCCATCCGGCCGTCCCGCCGTTATCGCCGTCTTCCGCATCACAACCGCCATCGTCGCCTTATCGTTTGTGATTATTGTCTCTCGGAGCTTCATTCACACTACTGATGCCGCAGCTGTGCAGATGTCAAAGTGTGAAGAGTGCGGGGCAGACGAAACTTGCACCTGGAACAAGCCTGGCCAAACGGTGCCCCGCCGTCGTTGCGTAGAGGATCACGTGACATTTCGTTCCACGTGATAGCCACCTTTTGGCAGCCTGACGCCAATGTGCCCAGACTGAGCTGAAGTTGCGGTTTTGATTTCTGCTCATGCAAGATTTAACAATATATATCACACGTTTCGCGAAGCATGTGACGTAGTGCCTTTCATAGTGCTTTTTAATAGTGATGGGCCAAACTTTTGCCGAATCTTTGGATTTGGCAAAGCCGAAGTTTTGCCAAACACTTCTTAAGATTCAGCAAAAATATGATGTTGCCAGACTTAAGTTAATATTTCCTTTTTTCGCGCAAAAAAAAAAAAAAGATTCTAGATGTTTTTTTAAATGCATACTGACACAGTCATTATTGAATAAGGTGATATTCTACAGGATAATTGTATCGGTGTCTTGTCTCTTTCCTCACAATTTTACAATGACTTTTTGCAGAAGTGGTGCGATAATAATGTTGGGTAGTACTGGGCGCAGTCACGATACGCAAGTTTCGGTTTTGAGGATTCATCAGTGCAAGCCTGCAAGTCTGTACATTGTTAAAAGAAGGACGGTAACAATGTGTTCTTATTTTCTGTGAGAGTCACCATTTCGTGTGCAAAAATTAATGTAAGGGCTACTGAATGTTCACCGGAAGAGAACATTATCGTAAATATGAATTCCTTTTCAATTTGAGTCACTTGACACCAGCTTTGCGTGAAAGGGTGCGTCCGATATTTGCAATGTCTCGTTTTTAGCTTTTAAAAAGCCGGTTTCTGATGTCAGGATATACATGGGCGTTTAGGAAGATGGGAAAAGTTACAAATGCCGAATGTGCAACGTCAAGCATAATAGTTCTGCATTTATTTACGTGGATAGATGAAAACTGCAAAAACGCTAAAAAAAAGTAATATTATTTTCTTTGGGCACAAACTACTTTTGAGCCGAGAAGTGCTTTGAAGCACTTGTCAGTCAATGCTGCAACTGCCTCGTTGCATCACCGGAAAGATAAAAAAAATCATGTTATTCAGAATGAACTGCATTATTTGTCACTTGCGCAGTGGACTGCCTCAATTTCTGGTCGATCTGTTCTTGAGGCAAAGAATATTGAAGAGAACCACACTCACGAAGGCTGACAAACACACAGTTGCCATGTCGCCTACTCTGCACCTCGCCACAACCGCTACACCGTACGATGGTAACACCTTGGGTAACACCGCACGACAACAAGGCGTCTATTTGCAATCCACGGCCCCGCCGCATTCTCGCGCGTACGCAGACGTTTGCCAAATTTTCGCTGAACTTGCCTTTAAAAGTTTGGCATGTGCTGAACTTTGCCGAATCTGATGTTCAGCAGATTCGGTCCATCACTACTTTTTAATGTGAAACCACTCGTTATCCTAAATTTTCAGAATTGAGCAGAGTTACCTTTTGATCGCAATCTGCGGTGCTCATTGTCATTGAGTCACTAATGACAGCCCAGATGAAATGAGCTTGTTTACATCGGTTGAACAAGCTGCACTTCATTAACGAGTTTCAGGATTGCATTGTCTGTCGCATAGCTACCGACGGCAAATTATAGTACAGCCCCTATTCCCGACATCATGAAGACATCTAGAAAACACTGTAGCAGAAAATATTCTGCCAGGAGCCAAGCTGCCTCAATGTTTGGAGTGATTGCATAACACCAGACCTAATTTTGTTTTGGTTCCAAATGGAAGCAAAACAGCCCATAGCACCAGCTACTAACCACCATTGGTCTAGCAACAAGCAAAACAGCCTGCAAAACTTGGATCCAATAAATAAAACAGTGCCAGAATTTGCAATGAATACAGCATCAAATTGCCACTGACACACAGTTCCTGCCAGTTTCCACGGTCTGTTTTAAGGCCGTCGCAAAGAACACAAGTTCCAGGGTAATTCCTCCCAATGCCATTTTTCCTTACAATAATTACATAATACTAAGCTTACTTAAACATGCAACCAGTTTTCCTCCAAATTTCCGGCATTTCAAAAGATGTCACTTGCAGACCTATAGGTCATTCCGCTGCTTCCGAGGCAACCTATGAGTCTGCAGATTCCCTCACAAACAGTAGGGAATATGCCCAATAACTAGTTACCTCAATTTAAATCAGATACAGATTTACAGCTTTATATTTATTCAGCAGAATCAAAATTAAAGCCAACTTTTACAACTTGCATGTCATTATTAAGGCACTAAGGCATTAAGTTAGTAAGATACAAAGACACAGAAGAGGCTTATTGGGTTCCTTTAAAGCAATTCACAAAAGGATCGAAGTACACCTAAGCACCAAGTTATAAAGGTGAAAACATGAATGACATTCCTGAGCGCGTCCTCGTAAAGTTGCCGTGTCTCGCTGACATCGGCTGTGCTGCCGCTCAGTCGGCGGCATGGAATCTGTTGCAGAAATCAGCTGGCGTGCTCGGGCGGCCGTGGCACCCCCGAGCGTGCCAACCGACTCCTTTTGCCAAGGCGCGTTGGCAAACCACGGGGTGGCGCTAATTGAAACTGACTCGCAACGGCCTACTTCCACTTCATTCAATTGCCGTTTTGCGTGGCTTTTTGCACGGCTTCAAAGCTGCGATGCCTCAGATCGCGGCTTTACAAATTTATCTGCCGTTTGGCGCAGCTGATGACGTCGGCTCGCTCCATGGGACAGTTAATGGCATTCAAAAGACAACCACAGTGCCAGGCACTCCTGAAAACATGAGAGGCAAGGCAAGGCTGCCGGTGCGCCAAAACCACCTTTGGCCGTTTCACTAGTTGGGGAAGACCAACTGCAAAGGACAGCGGCTACTTCCAGCATGCACACTGCTCCAAGAGGGCTCGTGCATGTGATGCACTATGTTTACACTGCCACAGAATTCCAGACAATAGCGGTCACTCCCCGACCGTTGCATTAAGTAGAAAAATTAAGCCAAACAATGAAGGTTTTGCGAAATGGTAACAAGATGTGAGGCACACCATGAGGCACAAAACACTGAACTTTGAATGGTTGGCCCGACAAGAAGCATATGCATTAAACTGCTCGACAAAGGTACTCAAAATTTCTCGGCACTGCAAGAGATCTTAAAGAATCAAATTCTCCTTCATTTTGAAAATCGGCCATAAATCACGGAATATTGGTTGTGCAAACGAACAGAGGAATGTCAAATTTCAAGAGACAATATTAAGGCCGTGATATGTGCAACTTGCAATGTGTGCCATGCGTATTCCACAAACTGAGCATGTGCGAGTGCAGAGACGAGAGGGGGTAGACGACATTCAAATTATTCGGAACGCTATACAACGCCAGAGGCAGTGGGTTGCAGAAGTGAAAGCATAGGACAACGGACCCCAGCACTCCCAACTTGCATTGGTAAGAATAGCAAATAAAAACATTGAACATGAATCATTAAAGATGTACTTTGTTTTCTTTCCGGTGATCAGGAGACTGAAATTGCACGTTATATGCCGCATACACGCTGCCAGGCGTGTAAGCGGCACATAGCCTGGAGTCACTGCCTGGCAACACACCAAGCAGAGTACCAGAGAAACAAAGCAATAGTTTTCAGCCGCTGGGCAGTCGAGGGCTTGAACTAGGCTGGAGAAGTGTACTGCACACAGGGGATCTCGGAGGCCACAAGCAAGGGTAACAACCCCAGTCAGGGAGGACACCCTCCATGCTGGCCGTCACTCACCTGGTCAAAGAGCATCAGCACTGTCTTCATGGTGAAGCGTCTCGAGCAGAAGTTGAACAGGTCCTCCAAGCTCGGACCCAGCAAGTCCATCACCAGGACGTTGTACTCCCGTTCCGTGCCATACCACCTGCAGCCCAGAAAACAACGCTGCCATGCCTAGGATCTCCCATTTTCTAAGGAAACGCCGATCAGACGTCCATTTTGGTGTGTCCACTGATCCAGGTTGCAACAGTTCCAGCTATGCAAAATAAACCCTTCCATTTCTTTTTTTATACAATTATGTAAACGTTGAAATTCAGATGGCTACAGTGAGCACATTGAAAATGAGATCAGAATAGCATTTACAGTTGCCGATGTGTGGGAACCTTGGTTACTGTTGCACCATGAAAGAGTGCTTGAAATTAATTTGTTTTAAAATTCCTTTTTTTGTCTTTTTCAACAAGAGACTGGTGTGTCTGATGTGATACTATTATTATTATTTATTAATCAGATGGATAGAAATGTTTTTATATTAACGGAAGCAATCCGTAGAAATTAAAGATAAGCACTCCGATACGAGTGATGTCAAGTCGGGAGTCCCCCAGGGCACGGTCCTCGGACTGCCATTCTTCCCAATATTTATAAACGACATAGTTAAAAACCTTACCGTCCAGGCTAGATTATTCGCCGATGACTGCATATTGTATACAGAAATTAAGACGCCCATGGACCAACTTAACCTAAATACATGTATTTCGTGCATTGGTAAATGGTGCAATACATGGCAAATGTCGTTAAATTTTGAAAAAAACGTTTGCATGATAGTTACTTGCAAAACTAAACCCAGTGTTTGCATATGAGCTGGAAGGAAACCCAATTGAAAGGGTTAGCAAATACAAATACCTGGGTGTGACCTTTTCTCACGATCTACGCTGGGAAACGCACATAGATAATGTTGTTAAAAAAGCAAACGCCAAATTATGGTACTTAAGATGGTCCCTAAAACTGAGTTCAGCCAACACAACTTTTGGCATATAAAACGCTCGTCAGGCCGGTTATGGAATATGCATGCGAAATCTGGGACCCCTACACTAAGCAAGATGCCCTTAAATTAGAAAGAGTGCAGAGGCTCGCTTTGCGCTTTATACTTTCTAAATATCGTCGATTAGATTCACCAACTGCTTTGTACTCGAGAGCCAAATTTTCGCTACTAAAGGCTAGGCGTAAAGAGAAAAGGTTAAAATTTCTTACATGATTCTTAATGATTATCTACAGATAGACAAGACAGCTTACTTAATTCCCGATGCGTCTAGAATTACATGTAATATAGTCGTGCCCTTCACCAGCCGTGCTGCTTCAAAGACTGTTTTAAGTATTCTTTTTTTTGCCCTAACGATAAGCGAGTGGAACTCCCTCCCAAAACAAGCAGTATCGTGTCAATCACTGGAATCTTTTTGTTCTTATCTTGCATTTGATGACGTGGGCAGCAATCCTTGAAATTGCATGTTTATTTAGTTACTATGCCCTCTCTTTGTCGTGTCATGACTTCCAGCCAGCGTCATTCTTCCATTGTTGTACTGACTTTACATTTCTCCCCAGTGCCAAATGATTCTTCTGTAATATATTTTTAGGACGGGTTTGCAACGAATGCAGTTGTCAAGTTTTTGTTGTGTTCTTTTTATTTTTTCCTTCAGCGTTTATCAAAAATATATAAATAAAATAAAAATACTGCTCCCTTAAACACGAATAAACCAAGAAATAAGCGGCGAAACTTTGTTGTAGTATCACTTTAATGAACAGAACTCCAAAGGAAATGAAGTGCTTCGTGTCAAATCGTTTCTTTGAGACCGGCATTGTGTCACTCACACTTTTTCACTTCAGAAACCCAATCCACAGAATAATAGTTCCTTGTTTGCATAAAACATCCTATTCAACACTTGATTTAAAATTGGCAACTTGCCTGAAGGTTAAAGGAAACATTTACATGGCCTCCAGATGTTTATTGCTCATTAAATTCTGGCCATCTGATGTCTCTATTCAGGAGTTTGCTGTGTGGTACTGTTAAAAGCAAGCAAAAAGGTGGAGAACAATAGACATCTGCAGGTCAGATTAATGTCCTTCAATTTTCATGCAAGTTGCCAATTTTAAACAGCTTCCCAGTCATCAGAGATGTTGCAACTCATCATCAGAAGGATAGAGCTACCATCTCTCAAATAAAAAATTTTGTATTTTTTTTTATCAGCTAAAACAGCTTCCCAAAAATTGACGCTTCCAGCCGTCAATTTTTTCTTTTTATCTTAAAATGATGTTTTTTTTTTTTTCTTTTTGCGAAAATTTGGAATGAACCCAAAAATCACCGTAAGAGGGCAGAGCAATAGTGGTAGCAACGGCATCTGGTGGAGAAAGTGCAAAACAAGCCCCGAAACCAAAACACTAGTCATATCGTGGTCACGCTTTTTGGTCCACAATAGCCCGAGGGACATTCGTGATTAGTTGCCAATGGGTTGACGTGAAAACAAGCAAACATTGCATACGCGACTGGACAAAACAACTGACGAGCCACGAAGCGACGCCTCGAGCAACTGTTATTCAGCCCGAACACCACCCACGTCCCTGCACTTCACTACACATTGTTATGCCACTCTCACTGATCACATTACTTGACTTAGCCAACCTTTCGACGGTTTCCCTGAGAATTCCCCGACTTCCAAGTCTTCCGAAGTTTGGGCACTACAGTACAGCGGCCGCCAGGATGCGTGCCCGATAGGCACGATACAAAAGCCCCGATTACAAAAGGCCACCACCAGAAATGTCCCGGACTCTCCTTGGCCTAGCGCCCACCGCACCCACCACGAAGAGTCGTACACCAACTGCTTCAATGTCCAAGTGTCCGCTCGTCTAACGTCAAGGGTAGCTCCTTGTTTCGGAAGCCCCATCTCCGTGCTGTTCCCCTGGGTTAGGCATGCAGCAACAGAGCCTACCCACATTTTCTAGATTGGTAGGCATGTTTTTGCAAAAAAAAAAGTGCATTTATGAGGCATACATTATTTTTCTTTTCAACCGCCCACATATCTATCAACTGGACAGTCCCCCTCTTCAACAAAAATGCGATGGGCTGCTTGCTCAAGCAGGCTTGCAAGAGGCTGAACGTTGGGACCATAAGACTCAAAATTGGCAAAGCAGGCAGACAATACTCCAACGAAACGCTGCATTAGAACCCTAGGGAACCACACAGAAAGCCAGTGTAAAAATGAAATAATCTCAAGTGAGAGAACAAGGTATGTACCAAAATTATCTTTTCAAATTCTCAGACTTTTCCAGATTTTCCCTATTATCTAAATTCTCTGACTGACTCCTAGGCAGACAGGACTTGACTAAAATGTGCTCTTTTTTGTGAGAACGCTCATATATCTGACTGCTGACAGGGCAGGGCAGAGCAGAGCAGTGGCCAAACACTAAATCACCTCGTCAGTCTCTTATATAGATGCATTTTTTCGCTGGAGAGATGTTTTAAATAAATCACTGGGCAAGCTTATATACTGCGGAGCCAGCCTCTTGACAACATGCTGCATTGCAAATAAAGTCGTCCACTCAAATGATGGGCTGTAGAGAAACATGCTAAGTGAGCCGCTCGCATCGGAAGGTAACTACGCCGCGTGCACGCAGTGGAAGCACGAAGCAGAGCTCCCGCATGCAGTCCTGCGGAATGTCGCAGTACAGAGCTAAGCTCTACTGTCAGCGCTTCGGCAGCGCTGCACACAACGTTCTAGTTGAAGTCCAGGCCCGCCAGGCCAGGAACCGCAAGGCAGGCGGCGCTAGCAAAGCTGCTGACCAGTTGACCTCAATAGAGTAAGGCTTCGCACTTCCCTTTACGCACACGCTGCGGGCAACTTCCAAACACTCGATGCACACAGCTGAGCGAGCAAAAACTGAAAAGCAGATGCGGAAGTTTACCTAGTGTGCGGTATTCCTTCGTTGCCTTGCAGTATTTTGTAGAGCTTGCTTTCGTACAACAGTTGCGGATGTCTCGCCTTTGTCGATTCCAGTTTGACGGCCACTTCCTGAAAACGAGGGAACACACGGTCGCTGTCATGTTGAACGTGCTGGCATGCGTGCGCCACTATCCACTCGGAAGAGTCGCATATCGCGAGCTTGCAACAGCTTCCCGAGCTGACATTCCGAGTCGACGCTCAGCCAGGCTCAACCTCAGTTGCGTCACAGGTTGGCTCGCCAGCTGTAGTTCGGGCGCGACAAAAAACAGAGGCGCCCGGACCGCGCGTGCTGGTGGGTTGCCTCAGCAACGGACGTTTTCGAAGCATGCGAATATAACGTGAGGCTATTAACCCTAATTGTGGCGTACCAACCTCGCCATTCACCATGTTGATTCCAAGGTAGATATCTCCGAACGAACCGCTGCCGACTTTGCGGACCAGTTTGAATTTTCCTCCGACAATGAACTCCGCCCTTGCCGAGCCGCTGGTGCTTGCCATTGCCGTACTCAGTGAGCAGCCTCTACCAGCGAAATTGATCAGGCATAGAACGGTTCCACCGCTCGACCGCAGGCCACTACGCACAGCTCGCCATCACTTTGGCAAATGACGTCAGTAGTAACAAAGAAGGAAGGAAGGAAGGTGAACGGGTGAACAGTGGGGGAGGGGCAGGGAGGGAGGTGTAGAGGGCGTGTAGTGCTAGCCGCTATATTATAATGCAATTAAATGCAAAGGTGCAAGCGAGCTGGACAAGAATTATGAAAATAATCCGTGGAGAAGGGGAACAAGAGGGGCAAAGGACAAACATAAATCTCCAAACACAGCTAGGTGACTGGTGAGCCGCTATAAAAAAACTAGCGCCCTCTGGTTTGGCGCGAGTGCGGCCACTGGACGGCCATCCTGCATGCTGATAAATCGCGTTTCCGAAGCGTTGCGGAGCCTGGTGGCAGTGGGCCCGTAGACATGTTCTCTTAATGTTCGTTGTCATTCGCCCTAGAAGTTCTTTGAAATCCTGTTTAAGCCGTGAGACTTACCGTTGAAAACATGTGAACATTTTTACGGAAGCGCAGTGCCGCAGAAAAGAGGCACAACTCGTCGAAAGCAAGTTTCGCCAGTCTCGCGGCGTGATCAAAGCTTTCTTGGCATGCCGAAGCGCTGCGTCTCTTTGCCTTCGTACAGAGACGCACGGCGGGCCACCGCCCCGGGTGCCGCTGACTCGCCAGTGGTGCCACCCATATCACTTCAAGTGTCCTGACTCCTAAGTGATTCTTCTAATGTGATATCAGAAGTGTTCCTCAAGTGACACTTGAAGTGATATCATTTAACAAGCTAATGGGGTCAATCATGTGAGGTCAGTAAAGCGGCGAAAGGTCACGGCATTCCTCATTTTGTGTGTTGTCAGCGGCTAGGCAGTCAACCGCAGTGACCTCGTGCTTTTAGCATGTGCGTGTATATGCTTGTGAGCGTAAGTGGACGTGACCCCTCTTAAATTCTAGATCTGTGAAAATTTTGGGCAGGGAAACGGGGCTCTTAAACATCCCCCCCCCCCCTTTCCCCTTGGTCCGAAAATACCTGCTGCACCTGGAAACGAACGATATGGTTTCATTTCGCGTGGAATTCAGCAGCTCACGGCTGGCGTCAAGCTTCGCCGCTATGCACCGGTGTGCTAGGAGCAGCGGCTGACGCGGGGGAGCAGCGCGGTGTTGACAAAAAGCTGATTATATGAGCTCGTAAATTTTGCACACCCTCACATGTGAACATTCTTTCGTTAGAGATATAGATCAACCTTTAATTCTAAAAAAATTGTTCCACGAAGAAACTCGGGTTGTTCTGATTGAAGTTGAGGAGGGGTATGATTGAAGGCTAGGTAAACTAGGTGGCGCAAGCTGCAGCCCATTAAAAAAAAGTGCAGCGGTTTTATTTAGATAGTAATGCCAAGGCTCTGATAGTGCTGGCCAGCGGCTTGCCAGCGCAGAGCCTGCGCAGAGCGGCCTACCTCCATGGCCAACAGTGATGGTGACAGTGACACCCGTGACACTTGTTTGCTAATTAGCAGTTTAGTTTTCCGTGCGAGTGAAATCATACGGAATGGCCTGGACAGGCTGGGGCCATGGCAGTGACAGTGGCTCGTAGGCTCGTAGGATCCATGTGTAGGGCCAACGAAGACTGGAGCCTTCCGTATTGACATGACAGGCTCGCTGGACGGCGTGGTTTCCCTCAACGGTACGCTGGCGGTTTCGTCTGTTCACTGCTCTTTCCAGTGCTGCTGGCGTGGGTCTCGGGTTGGGGCCTTCCTCGGAGAAGGCATCGAGGGCGATCGCCGGCCTCTGCTGTCGGCTGCCACTTGGTCGTGCACTTGCTCCGAAGCTGTGTCTTCGCTGCTTGACGCGCGTTGATCGCCTGTGTGTCTGGGCGCCGTCCGTACGGCTGGTCGGCATCGTCGGGGTGCTGCCTTCCTCTTGTGAAATGCAGTGCTTTCACCGCTGCCGTCTGGAGGGCAGAAGTTGGAGGGCCGCGAGAGTTAAGCGCGCGATCGTAAGCAGTGCTGAATTTGGAGGCTTAATTGGTGAAGTTTAGTCGTTAGATCTGTGTCCCGCAGACCCGACCACGGGTGGCACGAAAGCTGTGGGCAGAGAGCTTCCGACAGTTATCACGCTCACATGCGCTCGTGCACTCGCGCGGACCTCCTTAACCCGAGAGTTTTAGGGGGTGCAACGTACGTAAGCTACGAAACGCGCGTTGGTTTTTCTCCGTGAAATAGCAATCCCAGAAAAAAAAAAAAAAAAACCGAGCCTTATAGTCTCTTTCTCCCTTCCCCTTAAACTTGCAATCGTCATCACCTAAATTCCCAGCCAGAACAAGCAGCCGAATGATCTGGGGACGATTATATGGTGTCAGCGTTCAGTATTGCCATGCAGTAGTGTAGCCAGTAACTTTTTTCGGAGGGGAGGGGCTGAGCTGAAGTGGCTGGGACATCCATAAATTGGTTAAAAGGGGGTCAAAGCGCATGTGTATATTATAGGGTCGGCTGGATTTGGAAGGGGGGTTGGGGGGAGTAGGAGGGAGGAGGTTGAAGCCCCATAAGCCTCGCCCCTTGATACGCCGCTGCCTCGCCACGTGCTGGGGTTGGAAAAACACGGGGCACGTGCTATGTTCTATGCATTGCTAGGGTTCAGCTGTTTTTGTATTTGCAGAGATTGAACTCGAGGCTGTTACCCGAATGCCTCTCAGGCCATTGATTGTGTCATAAGGACAAATTGAGTGCTCACACAATGTGTCTCATCTATAAGTCACATCAAAATATTGTTACACGAGGGTCGTTGCCATGGATTAAGTCAACGCTGTGATCCCTATACTAGGTCATCAGGTTTTGGGAGGGAGAGACTGTAAGGAAAAGTCTACTTCTTGAAATCACCCCACGGCGAAGAAGCTCCTTGGTCAGTGGTGTCACATGCGAATACTGTAAAACCCTTAATGTTCGCGAGCCCTTAATTTTCGCGAAATTTCGGTCCTTAGGAGTTTCAATGCAGCCATCTGGAATTCGCAAAGTTTAATGGCCGCGATTGTGCGTCTGTGGCTCATTCGCAAAAAATAGGGGCCGCGAAAATAATGGGTTTTACAGTATTCTTGGGTTCCAAAAGTGCCAGTAAGCTTGTGTAAGGTGAAAATCATTTTAACTCAAAATCGCTACACTGTCTCTTTAAAGGGACACTGACAGGGTATTTATGCTCGCCGAGGTTTTCAGTTGTACGTGACATATGAGAGTTCATCTACCCAGAACAGAATTTGCGGCTCGAAATTCGGTTTCTTTCCGCCCGAAAACCGCCGATCAAGAACTGGCCGGTTCGAGTCTCGCTTACTCTCTTTTTCGCGGTCACGGGCCGTTTTCTAAGGTATCGATGCGACCACCAAATTTAATCAAAGTCATGGGTCACTGAAGGCACACACTCAATATTAAAAATAGAAAAAAATATGAAACCCATTTTTTTGTGGCTTCTAAAAAGCTGTAAATACGTTAATTGAAAAAAAAAAGTTCCACAGACAACCGGAAGCATTCTGTGCGTTCGTCGTTTCGCGTATCGTGGGACTCGCGGGGACGGCGATGCTAGCGGACGACGGGCGTGCGACCTCTATTTCAGAACTGTCGTTCGCGGTACCGGCGAATTCTGTCTACCGTTAAAAGAGAAATTTGGGACTGATCAAAAGAATTGTTATTCATCCCGTACGACACGCCCGGCCACCAAACCGGTTTGCACGAAGACGTCGCCGAGCCGTCGCTTCCTTCTCGTGGCTGAAGACATCGCTCGCGCAAACGTCAAGCACGACGTGTCTACTTCGAGTTGAATATGCACGCGTACGATTTCTTTACTAGGTGCGAATGTCCCCAAAGCGTGGTGCTTCCCGACTTCGACCTGGGAGTGCTTTTGCTAGAGAAAAATCGACAGCAAACTTTCCAACTTACAGTTTACCGGCTGAATTATTACTAAGGAAAGAAATCCACCAGAAAAGAGATGCCTCAGTAGCTCAGTGGGAAAGACGTCTGGTTTACACGCGGTAAGACCGGGTTCGGTCCCCCGTGAAACTTTATTTATTTTTGTTTTTTTTACAATCATCACTGAAGAAACAAAAAAAAAATAACAAACAAATGTTGTGGATGATACTTCGCTGAACTAAATGGTATGGGATTTCCGTTTTGACACCTGCGAACTCAATGTAATCACTTTCCACAAAATGCAAGGAGCATATAAATCAGGTAGCGTCCGCTTTCCGAGGTGCCCGTATATGTTCTACAGGAATTGCAGCCAGCCATTGGTCCCGATCCCGTTGATCTTTCGGAAACTTTGTCGCACAATGCCACTTTTTTTCGGACGCAGGACATGTAAGCCAGCTCTTCACGCAACATCTTGGGTGTATTCTTTTCGGAGCCGATCATGGAAATTCACCACGGGCACTCACTACTCATCTCCAACTCCTCAATGTACAAAACAACTCATCTTGGAGTACAGAACAACGAGCGGAACAAACATAACTGCAAAAGAATCGCACGGCGAGCAGTTCCCGCACGCCGCATCGCGCGCCGCATGTCTGTCGTTTGCTACCGAAAAGGAGAAAAGAAAAAAAAACGCACGGTCGGGTGTAGCCACATGACTTCCGCCACTCACTCTCTTCTCTCCACTTCTGCGACCTCCGTCGGGTTTCGGTTTCGAGCAGTTGCGTCTTTTGGCTTTATTAAAAAAATACGCTACTCTGTTGCAAAATATTAATTGGGTAGTCCTCCGACACCATAATGATGCGCCTGGCAAAAAATAAAAAAAATTTTTGGGGGGGTGTCAGTGTCCCTTTAAAAGGACACTGACAGGGTATTTATGCTCACCAAGGTTTTTATTTGTGCATGACATGAGAGCCCAACTGCCCACAACACAATTTGCGGCTCGAAATTCGTTTTCTTTCCGCCGAAAACCACCGATCGAGAATCGGCGGTTTCGAGTCGCGCTCACTACCTTCTCTATGGTAACGTGCCGTTTTTGTATGGTTTAGACACAACCACCGAAGATAATCAAAGTGGTGGGTCATCAAAGGCACACACTCAATACTAAAAATAGATTGAAAATATGACACCCATTTTTTGTGCCTTCTAAAAAGTTGCAAATACATTGATTAAATAAAAAAAAAGTTGCACAGCCACGTGATTTTGGTAACTTTCTCCTCCTCTATATCTCTTCTTCCTCCCCAGTTCAGTTTCGGTTTCGAGCAGTTGTGTTTTTTTACTTTATTAAAAATATATGTGACGCTGTAGCAAAATATTGATTGGGGGCGTCAGTGTCCCTTGAAGGGTTGTCTTTCTTTTCTTACTTTCAAACACAAGTTTGAAACACAACTAGAACATCAACCTTCAGACTCGTGAAAATGGAGCATGCTGGTAAAGTTACGGTGTTAGAGGAGAGTTTGTTTAGGTAATTCTCTAGCACCATAACCTTCATTCCAGTCATTAGAGAGTTTTAGAATAATGTACGCAATTTTAGCACACACTAGCTTTAAATTTAGCGCTTGCGTTAGCGCGCGCTACTCAAGATAGTTTTAGAATAGTGTTTCTCCACCACGACGCAAAAGCATTTCATGCTTGCAACGCCACCAAGATACAGTCGCAACTTTTATTTCACGCACGCAATGCTGTAACTTAAGAAAAAAGACAAGTTGTTTTGGTCCAGAGCAACATTTTAGATTTGTTTAAAGGAGCTGTGCAACAATTTCTTTGCTTTGCTTAAATAATTTGGGAGTTGGTGTCTCGACCTTTCTGAAGTAAAGAACAAAAAACCGCTTTTGCCTGCATGTCCTAGTTTTTATTTTAAAAATGGACAAAGATTGAGGTTTTCGGCACCTCTCAACTCCTTCACCATCTTCCAAGTCACGTGCGCTGTGACGTCAATGCGGGTCGCGCGGGGTTCCGGTGAAGCTATCTCTCTAGAGCTATCAGTGAGCAGCGAGAACTCATCCGCTCGTGACCGCTTGACCACGTGCTGGTGAAAGGAGGAAAGTCTCATCCAGGTCCGGCCATCCCCGTCCGGCTCTGGCCCCGTCCCCCTCCGGCTTCTGGCGGCTGTTCGCGGTAGCAGATAGAGCTGACGGTTTTGTGGACCTAGGATAGATGGCGCCACTAAAACTCCGTATAATAAAAGTTTTGTCGATGATACCAGGTTTTCGACGCATTTATACTTATGTTGGAACGACAAGATTTATAAAAAAGTTACCTTTTATCGAGCAAGTATTCGCACAACTTGCTATCTTTCTACAAGACTCCCATTGACGTCATGCCGCGTGGTTCTTATGGCCACCGCTCGCGGCTGCAGCTGGGGGAATATTCTCATTTTTGCCTCGCAATTACGTGGCGGAATCGCAACATTTTGAAGGAAGGAAGTGTGTTTTCTGTCCTTTGTGACAAGATGAACAATGTCAAAAGTAGAAGATGCAAATTCTTTCAACGTTAAAATCGTTGCACAGCTCCTTTAAACATGAAAATGCGACGCAGGCGGTTGACCGGTCGTGTTCTCTTGCATCGCCTCTGCGAGAGAGTTCTTGTGTACTGACCTTCGCACACCGTATTTTCGCCGAGAAATGTTGGTGCATTGCAAGCATAAAGTTGCCGGCGATTGTTACCAAACCGAGCGCAATGTCGTCCCGTATTGAAAATCGCAGTCGCAAGGATGCCGCCGACGTCACCTTCA